GCAGGTACGAAAGGGTTAAAGACCTCGTCCCATAATAACCTGTCAAGTAATAATCTGTTTCCTCACCTAAGGGTTCAGGTGTAATAATGGCCAATAAGGGCCTATTATGAATTTTCATGTTCAAAAAAAACGGATTTTAACTATTTATCCCCGTTGACACGGATTTTATCTATGTCAATAAGGATAAAGAGTTGAAACCCGTTTCTTCAAAGACGAACTTTGTTCCAGTCATTATTAGTATCGAGAGCATCAGATCAATAGTCAAATAATAGCTTACAGCTTTAAACTATTATAGATAATAGTTTAATGAAAATTGCAAAATGTAAGTTTTTTAAAATACGATAAGTACCATTCCTTATTGAGCACTTTCTTTTTTGTAAAAGTTCAAATCGATGTTTTAAAAATATATAATTGATTTAATTAAAAAATAGATAATATATAAAATAATAATCCGATTAAATTAAATTTAATCCGTTTCTTTTAATCTTGAACAAATCGTTTTACTCCATGTTACGCAAAAGTAAGTTCTCTAATCGTACACTTTATAGAGAGTAATTCTGATATAATTGAAGATACGCAATGAAATAATTCTTTTTTTTTATCCATTCTCTCGCGAGTCATACAAAGCTCAGTTGTTTGCCTGTGTAGTTTTTCACAATATTTTGTCAGGTTTGTATGCGGAAGTACTTTCGCATAGTACTCGTGGCACTCTCTTCGGGTGACCCGCCCCTTCGCCATCCCTCGTCCGAAAAATATACCAAAACGTATGGCATTCATCGAACAAAAAAAGGTCTCCTAGCAGTCACTCGATCGATTGTTCGCTCGACATGATCCGAAAATCGCAGTACACCGGAGTACAATGTTTGTACTAAATAACGTAATTCTGTATATCAATTAAAAAAAAAAGTTAAAATTGTCTTCAAACTGTCGTGCCCGAGATGAACAAACGCGAACAATGACAAGCCCGCCGTAAGTGGCGGAATCGTCAATTCGGTAGAATTCAATCAAATCCGATCAATTCGCGCGCATTCCGATCCGTCGCATCTGCAAACGCAGATAAACGCGACCAAAAAAAGAAAAAGGAGAGAAAAAAAGGAAGAGATATTTTCGGTAACACGGAAAGGAGCCTCTTGTGGATCGGCCGACTCACTAATTCGACAATCGCCCCAGATCCCGCACCCCGATTCCCTGTATTCGGCTCTTTTCTTTTTTTTGTGTATGTCTATTTCTCTCTACCGTTCGACATCGCCTTGCCTCTCGTCCTTCCCGTTTCTCTCGCGCTCTCACTCGTTCGAAATCTCCCTCCTTGTCTCCACGGCGACGACAGGCGGCTGACAGGGTGGAGTGCTCCGCGCACCACCCTTGTACTCGTACTCACGTGTGCGTATTCATACACACACACACACACACACACACACACACACACACACACACACACA